TCTCGAACTCCTGACCTCAGGTGATCCACCTGCCTTGGCCTCCCAAAGTGCTGGGATTACATGTGTGAGCCACCATGGCCGGCCCACACTCCAAATCTTAAGCCAAAACAAAAGGGGGTAAGGAAGCAGCAAAACTATTATTTGTCTTTCATAAAGTAATTGATTGACTATTAGAAGACTATCATCCATGCTATGCTCAACAAATATTCTTACTTTTTCATGTTTTTTTTTTTTTTTTTTTTTTAAGATGGAGTCTTGCTCTGTCACCAGGCTGGAGTGCAATGGCATGATCTTGGCTCACTGCAACCTCCGTCTCCCTGAGTATCAAGTGATACTCAGCCTCACGAGTAGCTGGGACTACAGGCGCACGTTACCATGCCCAGCTAATTTTTTTATTTTTTAGTAGAGACATCGTTTCACCATGCTGGCCAGGATGGTCTCGATCTCCTGACCTCATGATCTGCCCACCTTTGCCTCCCAAAGTGTTGCGATTACAGGCGTGAGCCACCATGCCTGGCCTCATGTGATTTTATGCAGCAAATGCAAAGTATTCTGTAAAGGTTCTTGGTATACCTGTTTTCATAACGACATGAGTAGTCTCTTCACTAATTAGATTAGTTAAAGCGATGTGGTATCTTCTGGCAAACTTGTACACGAGCATCTGAAATTAAATCAAATATTCCATTATCATGAGTTACCTCTAGTACACAGCTCAGAATACTAGTTATCCCACCATGGCATATGTTCACCTACGTAACAATCCTGCACATTCTGCACATGTGTCCTGGAACTATTTAAGGTGAATTTCTTTTTTTTGAGACAGAGTCTTGCTCTGTTACCCAGGCTGGAGGTAAAATTTAAAAAAAAAGAAAAAATAATAATACCAGTTATCCTAGCTTTAAGTCTCTGTTTTTCTCAGAAAGGGTACATTTTAAAAAATTCTAAGATACCTGAAGTCTCGGCCGGGCACGGTGGCTCACGCCTGTAATCCCAGCACTTTGGGAGGCTGAGGCGGGTGGATCATGAAGTCAGGAGATGGAGATCATCCTGGCTAACACGGTGAAACCTCGTGTCTATTAAAAATACAAAAAATTAGCCGGGCGTGGTAGTCCCAGCTACTTGGGAGGCTGAGACAGGAGAATGGAGTGAACCCGGGAGGCGGAGCTTGCAGTGAGCCGAGAAGGCGCCACTGCACTCCAGCTTGGGCAAGAGTGCAAGACTCCATCCCCAGCCCTAAAAAGATACTTGAAGTCTCAAATAGTTTAATAAAAAATTATGTACACATCAGCAGACATAGAATTACAACTAAAGATTCAAAATAGTATTATACACCTACTATGTACCACAAACTTAAAACTTAAAAAAATATACATTGGGCCAGACACGGTGGCTCATGCCTATAACCCAGCACTTTGTGAAGCTAAGGTGGGACTCTTGAACCCAAGAGTCTGAGACCAAGGCCAGCCTGGGCAATACTGTGAGATCTCATGTCTTTAAAAAAAAAAAAAAAAAGTAAAAAGAAAAAATATATATTAATTTTGCTTTAATAGCTGATATCATCTGATTCCCTAAGACAGTTTCTTTGCATAGTGACACTCTACTATAAATTTATCAGCCTACACTTTATAAGCTGAGAGATAACTACCCTACACAGAAAGTTATGCTACAGACATATATGGCTTAAAACCAAGACTCAACCCTCTGATAGTTACAAAACACTGAAATCAAGATGTTACTAAAGGTCATTGCAAAAGCGATCAATTCTCTTGTAAGGAGAAGGCTTAGAAGGGGTTCATATTCTTCCCCAAAGAAATTTAGAGTCCTCTAGCTATTATCTATCAACCAAATAAAAATCAATAGCAAAAGAAATTAACCAGATCCATTATGGGCACAGTTGACCTAGTTGGTAGGTATTGTCTGATAAATAACTTTGTTTACCAAGGGCCATCATTTACTAGCCATAGCCACAGCCACCCACACCAGTATTTACGTGTTGCACAATACTGCCATGAAGGTCAGGCCATCTTTCTTTCATGTTGCCTTACTCCATACTGCCACAGGACACTGAAAAAATGCAGGCTAGAGAAGCTAATGACATCCTCCCCCTTTTGCCACCACCCTCTGCCAGGATCATTAGCAATTCTGAACTGATTAATTGCTAAAATCCCAGCCTTGAAACTGTTCTGTTAGAAGAGCAATGCTGAACTGATGAAAAGATCATCTTAATATGGGCTTCAGAATTAATCATGTGTAATACAGTCAGTAGCTTTCATCATAAATTTACCACACTTCACCAAGTCTGAATAAAGCTCAAAGTTTTCCTCTTTGCTTGTTTAAAGACAACACGTACCCAAGCCACTTGTAGTCTAAACTGCAGCTCAGAATTGCTTTTGGCAAGAAAGATTAGACCATTTTAGCCATCTCTAAAAAGCTGAACTTGCAAAACAAAGGGATAAAGAATGCTAATTTTCAATGAATAAGTAAGGAATTCCGGATGTGCAGGCAAATGATCAAGAGCCACTGAAACAGACACAGGTAAAAGCTTTTAGAGCAAATTGCTGGTCTGGGCATGGGATTATGAGATGAAAACATTTATAGCCATCACTGTGCACTTACTCAGTGTATCTACCAGGGCAGCCACAGCTTACTTTGCCCTTTCAGTAGTGGGATACATCTGGCCACAGAGATGTTATGCTAAGTCACTACCTATGGAGAAGTTAGGATGAAAAATCCTAGGAAAGATATATTAAGAAAGATATTTCAGAATGATTTGGTCATCTCTCAGTATACAATAAATGGCACACCCACTACGGAATCCATTTGATAATCTGGTATGTTATCTCATCATAGTTTTAAAGAAATATTCACGCAATTATTATTATTATTATTATTATTTTGAGACACAGTTTCGCTCTTGTTGCCCAGGCTGGAGTGCAATGGCGCAATCTCGGCTCACCGCAACCTCTGCCTCCTGGGTTCAAGCGATTCTCCTGCCTCAGCCTCCCGAGTAGCTGGGCTTATAGGCATGGGCCACCACGCCCAGCTAATTTTGTATTTTTAGTAAAGACGGGGTTTCTCTAGGTTGGTCAGGCTGGTCTTGAACTCCCGACCTCAGGCGATCTGACCGCCTTAGCCTCCCAAAGTGCTTGGATTACAGGCTTGAGCCACCGTGCCCGGCCACGAATTATTTTTATTATGAAGTGATGACAAAGACAATTAATTACAGGGGTGGTAAACTTCTCAGGATGTCTGAAATCCACAAATAGCCCAAAAAGAAACGAGGTTTTACTGGTCTTAATATGTTAATGAGTATTTTTCCACAGTGTGAAGTAATTCCCATTTCTGGCATTAAGGACCCAATTAGGATGCCAAAATCCTAATAGCAAGGGATGTTGCAGGGCAGACATGGCAGGGCAGGCTATTGAGTAACTGTCTTACAAGCCAGGATAAAAACAGTAGAGAAATGCTACTCTGTCTGGCAGTATGTTTGGAACCAGTCTGAATTTAGTTAAATATGCTGGTAAATTCACCCATGTGAGCCAAGGGGGAAAAAAGATGCCTTCTGGGGAATAAAGCTATACCTACTTGCTTTTACAGATATAAAGGAAAATTCAAATTCAAAAGTCCTATATCATACCGAAGTATAGCTTTTCTGCTAATATTTAATAATTATTTTCTCAAGTAAATATATATAAAATATTCCACACTATAGCTTTATCTAGATCTAAATTTTCAGAAATTAGTAATGGAAATTAAATTACACAGAACTGTGATTGTTTCCTAGATTTCTTCCTCTAGGTTATTAATTGCCAGGACCTACATAAAACTGTTTCCAGAATGTTGTTAAGTCTTAGTCATTAGGGAGATACATATGGATACACTCACAAATTCTTCTGGGGTCAGGCCAGACACCACCAAGGACATTCTTTTGTTGACCCTTTCTGTTGAAGCTGTCAATTTTGGCTTCTCCCTGCTCACACTTTCTTCCATTGCATTACACCCAGCAGTATTAGTATTATGAGCAGCAGCTGGACTCTGGGCAGATTCTGCAACTTGCCACTGGGGTACTTTCAATGCAGAGGTTGAAGATGGTATGCTGCCAACATGAGCTGACTCTGGGGCTCTGTCTTCGGAAGGATCAGATTCAGGGTCATCAGAGAAGAGACTGATTCCAGATTCCAGGTAAGGGGTTCCCTCTGAAAGGAATGGGAGAAGTTTAATTTACACAACAATGAATGTTGAATTACAGAGTTCTGGTCTCTGTTAAGAATTAAAAAGACCAATGAAGTTAGGTTAAGAGAAAAATGGGTACATGAATACAGTGTTGGTGGAAATCCAAAGTAGCCTAATTACCTAAAAAGGAAATATGGCATTATGTAGCAAACACCTTAGCCTGTGTTTATACTTTCAGTCAACAATGCTAGTTTTAGAAATATATCCTAGGGAGACAAAAGATGTATGCAAAGGTTTAGTCATAGGAATGTTCACTGTAACACTGCTTATAACAGTGTAATTTTAGAAGCAATCTAGAAGTCCAATAATAGATTAAATTACGATATACCTAGTCCAATGGAGTACTCTTCACCCATTAGTTTGAATATAAATGTTGATGTACAATAAAACAGAAATGTTACTAATATATTAAAGAAGATACCTAAGCAATATTATTTATCATGACATTATTTTAAAAATAAAAGTTTATGTAAAATGACTAAAGAAACACAGAAATATTTTATTATTAAAGAATAAGAGTACAGGCCGGGTGCGATGGCTTAGGCCTGTAATCTCAGCACTTTGGGAGGCTGAGGTGGGTGGATCACCTGAGGTCAGGAGTTCGAGACCAGTCTGATGAACATGGAGAAACCCCATCTTTACTAAAAATACAAAAAATTAGCCGGGCGTGGTGGTGCATGCCTGTAATCCCAGCTACTCAAGAGGTTGAAGCAGGAGAATTGCTTCAACCCAGGAGGCGGAGGTTGCACTGAGCCGAGATCACACCATTGCACTCCAGCCTGGGCAACAAGAGTGAAACTCCGTCTCAAAAAAAAGAGTACAGGTAATTTTATTTTTTTGAGAAGGGTCTTCGTCTGTCACCCAGGCTGCGGTGCAGTGGCACAAACATGGCTCATCTGCAGCCTTGACCTCCTGGACTCAAGTGATCTTCCTGCCTCAGCCTCCTGAGTAGCTGGGACCACAGGTGTTTGCCACCTTCCAGCTAATTTTTTTTTTTTTTTTGAGATGGAGTTTCACTCTTGTTGCCCAGGCTAGAGTGCAATGGTGTGATCTTGGCTCACTGCAACCTCTGCCTCCTGGATTCAAGCAATTCTACTGCCTCAGCCTCCCGAGTAGCTGGGACTACAGGCATATGCCACCTGGCTAATTTTGTATTTTTAGTAGAGACGGGGTTTCTCCATGTTGGTCAGGCTGGTCTCGAACTCCTGCCCTCAGGTGATCTGTCTGTCTTGGCCTCCCAAAGTGCTGGGATTACAGGCATGTGCCACCATGCCTGGCTCATTTTTGTATTTTTAGTGGAGACGGGGTTTCACCACGCTGGTCAGACTGGTCTCGAACTCCTGACCTCAGGCCATCTGCCTGCCTCGGCCTCCCAAAGTGCTGGGATTACAGGCATGAGCCACCATGCCTGGCCCCAGCTAGTTTTCTTTTCTTTTCTTTTTTTTTTTTAACTTTGTAGAGATCACGTCTTGCTACACTGCCCAGGCTGGTCTTGAACTCTTGGCCTTGAACAATCCTCCCACCTTGGCCTCCCAAAGTACTGAGATTACAGGCATGAGCCACTGCATCTGTCCTTATTTTATCTTTTACGAGGTGGCATCTCAGCTTGGTGAAGTGGCTCACGCCTATAATCCCAGCACTTTGGGAGGCCAAGGCAGGAAGATTGCATAAGGCCAGGAGTTAGAGACCAGCCTGGGCAACATAGCAAGATGCCGTCTCCAACCCCGCCCCAAATTATCTTCTTTATTCCCTATATTGTCCAGTTTGGGAGCAATGAGCATATAGTAATTTTGTAAGAAAGGAAAAAAAAGTTGACAAATGTGGCAAATGCTTTATTTTTGTTTCTTCATCCAAGGTAATGACACCATTACTTTTCTCACTTAATAAATCAGCAGGTATCATTACCAAATTAAAAACAGCAGAGATGTCATCCTCGAAACATTTCAGAAAATGCCATGCTATCAGGAATTAAGCATAGCTAAGTGGAATATATGAGATTCCTAAAATGACCCTAATGAACATGGCCAAATACCACATTTGACGCCAGTGTCTTTTATGATAATGTGTTTTTGAGGATTAATTAAAAACTTTCTTTACTGATTAAAACTCTGATTTACAACCCATAAAACACCATTCATTAAAAGTGATTTTTAAGGCATAAAATATATAATCATTTATATTAATTAACTCATAAAAGAAGAGCTTGCTTTGGGATTTGACTCACTTTCTAATAAAGGACTGGCCTAAAACTTTATTCTTTGGCCTTAGGACTCTTGTCTAACAGTTGAAATAAAATATATACATATATATTTTTGAGATGGAGTCTTGCTCTATCAACCAGACTAGAGTGCAGTGGCGTGATCTTGGCTCACTGCAAACTCCGCCTCCCGGGTTCAAGTGATTCTGCTGCCTTGGCCTGTAGAGTAGCTAGGATTACAGGCACGCACTAGCAAACCCAGTTAATTTTTTTGTATTTTTAGTAGAAACAGGGTTTCACCATGTTGGCCAGGCTGGTCTCTAACTGACTTCAGTTGATCCACCTGCCTCGGCCTCCTGGAGTACTGGGATTACAGGCATGAGCCACTATGCCTGGCCTGAAATAATATATTTAGAGTACACCAAGATTCCCTCATCCTCAAAATCATTAGTTAAACCATTAATTAAAATATAGATGGATTAACAGTTTCAACAATTTTCAAGTAAACCTTAACACTTGAGCTATTTTTCTAAAATGGGCTTAAGTATAACAAAAGTGTCCATGATAGACTAGTACATCTAAAAGTTGGTTAACCAGAATATCTTTATGCAGGATTCAGAGTAAAATCAAAGTGTTTGTTCCATTAGAGCAGATGAAATATTACCTAGATCTTGCCTTGGCAAGTAAGATAGTTCCATCAAATCGTGTGGCCCAGACTTTTCCAGTTGTTGCGTCTCCACATCAACAACCTTAATGAGCTCCTCTTGAGATGGGTAATTTCCATTCTGAAGACTCCCAGAGCTACTGTGCACATACCACCTATCCTCTAATGACTGGCATTTAGAAGGGGATGACCTAGAAAGATAAATGGAAGGAGAAAACCATCGCCACCAATTGTGAAAAGACAAATCATACTTCCTGGGCAGCCAAAGCATAAATGAAACAGCTCATGTCAGAGAGATCAGAAATGACTGGCAAAAAAGAGCCCACGTGACAGCCTAGAAGTCTGGATTCATGTTGCCTGCCAATATGTCAGGGTTGACATATAACATCTCCCCCGAGGGGTTGGGTTGGTCTGAGGCACTGTATCTCCTAGCTGTTAAAAGCAGGTCAGTAGCTGGGTGTGGTGGCTGTCGCCCGTATTCTCAGCTACTCGGGAGGCTGAGGTAGGAAAACTGCTTGAACCCGGGAGGCAGAGGTTGCAGTGAGCTGAGATCCCAAGATTGCGCCACTGCACTCCAGCCTGGGTGACAGAGCAAGACTCTGTCAAGAAAGAAAGGAAGAAAGGAAGAGAAAGAAAGAAAGGAAGAGAAAGAACGGAAGAGAAAGAAAGAAAGGAAGAGAGAAAAAGAAAAAGAAAGGAAGGAAGGAAGGAAAAGAAAGAAAGAAAAGAAAAGAAAAAAGAAAAAGCAGGCAAGCAAGTAGGTCAGCAAATTTTTACCAAATTACTCACTGCCACTCACTCTATACACAATATTCTACTTGAGTCCAAATGGATATGTTAGAATCAGATATCTTATGAAGATAGAACGTTGATCAATGTCAACATCTCTACACTCATTATTTCTACTCAGTTTTAGCAGAATTACAGAATCATCCCTATTGCCTGCCTTTTCCTTTTTTTTTTTTTTTGAGATGGAGTCTCAAGCTCTGTCACCCAGGCTGGAGTGCAGTGGCTCGATCTCGGCTCACTGCAACCTTGCCTCTCGCCTCTCGGGTTCAAGTGATTCTCCTGCCTTAGCCTCCCAAGTAGCTGGGACTATAGGGACATGCCACCATGTCCAGCTAATTTTTGTATTTTTAGTGCAGGTGGGGTTTCACCATGTTGGTCAGGATGGTCTCGATCTCCTGACCTTGTGATCCAACAGACTTGGCCTCCCAAAGTGCTGGGATTACAGGCGTGAGCCACTGTGCCCAGCCACTATTGCCTGCCTTTTCAATGTCCAAATTCATTCTAAAAACAAAAGCCAGCTATAAAATATTGTTAGAAAAGCATACACACCCAGTAAATAGTTCCTCTAGTCTTCCAAATGCTTAGGATTTTGCAAAATAAGATACTTACCAATAGATTTAAAGGGCCTCAGAGGTTAATTAATTTAAACAATTATTAGGTGCTTACTATGGGTCAAATACTAAGGCTAGGCCCCCTGGACTGAAGATGAGTGCGAACTGAATTACTGTTCTTTTTTTTTTTTTTTGAGACGGAGTCTTGTTCTGTCGCCCAGGCTGGAGTGCAATGGCACGGTCTCAGCTCACTGCAACCTCTGCCTCCCAGGTTCAAGCGATTCTCCTGCCTCAGCCTCCTGTATAGCTGGGATTATAGGCACCTGCCACCATACCTGGCCCTCCAGTAAGGAAAACAATGGTACTGGACTACATAGTCCAAAAAAAAAGAAGTATCCTAGAGCAATAAAAGTGTATAAATGCCTGTATACAAAAAACTGGAGAAAGTATGGTGAAAAAATTAACAATTAGAGTTCAATATAAATAAAGATGTCAGATACCACAGCATCTTTACACTGATGTTTCTTACCTTTCCACTCCTGGTTCTTTATTTTTACTGGTAGAACTATCTGCAGATACCTCGAACTTGTCAGCAGAAAGGCCTTCTGGATTCTGGTTTATAGGATATTCACTACTTTTCTGTGAAGTTAATACTGCTTTAAATGGAATGAGAAAACAAATCTACTTTATTGTTTTGTTCTGATAGTGATAATTCAGGTTAGAATATTGACTTTTTTCAAAAGCATCAATCTATGATACACAAATTGGTTTTTAAACAAGTATATCAGGCAGAATTTTATAAACAAGCAACGCAACAGCCAGATGTTAGCACTAGATGGAATTCAATGATTAAAAAATAATAATGGTAATAAAAGGAACACTTTAAGACAGGGTAAATAAAGACACCCAGCTGAGACAAGGCTGAAAAAAAATGTATATTCCTTGGCCCTGAATGATAAAAATATATATATAACAATTTTTTATCTCTGCAGCAAATAAATTATGCCCAAATTCCTCTCAGACAATAGGAAAGAAAGAGTACTGGAAAGCACAAAGTACATTTTTCTCCATCCCCACTGCCTCCACGTTAAAGACTGTGTGAAATGGGGGTTTCAGCTTCTGCATGTGGGGGGTAAACAAGACATGAGTGTCACACAAGAAAGAAAAAACAGGTGACATTTTGCTTCACATTTTCAATTACTGAAGAAAGAAAAAGAAAAAACAAAACAAAACAAATAAACTCCCTAAACCAACACATACACAAAAAAAACCCCAAGGTGCTGGTTAATAAGAAATCTTAAATAATACACGGAACTAATGATGAAATGCCACAGAAGGGAAAAAACACAAAACATACTGAAGGCAAAGTTCTGGCACGTTAGTTCATTTTTTTTTTTTTTTTTTTT